CCACATGGTGCAGCAGACCTCTCCTTTCTCGCCCGCTGCTCCCCTCTGTTCTGTTCCCTGCTCTGTCTCTGGTGAATCCTCTCACCCTCCTGCATCTCGGGCCTGTACCCCATTCTTGTATGCATGAATAATTAAATCTTAAAAAAAAAAAAGAATTATGATAAAAATAATTGGCCAGTGCAACTGTTAGAAGCCTACTAAATTATTACAGCCAATTGGGAAACAATTTAGCAATATCTGAAAGTTAAAACTATATACTCTAAGATCTAGCAATTCCACTTCTAGGTAGATTGGTTCTAAAGGAGTTCTTTTTTTTTTTTTTTTTTATATAGAGGCATGTTTTCTTTCTTTCTTTCTTTCTTTCTTTGTTTTTGTTTATACATGCACTGGGTACAGTCAGAAGCGCGGGAGGGTGAGAGAATTCACCAGAGCCAGAGCGGGGAGCAGAGCAGGCAGAAGGACCGAAGCACACTGCTGAGGGGAGCAGCGGGCGGCAGAAGAGGTCTGCACGCCATGTGGGACCCTCCTCCGGTGGCCGGGGAGCAGCCGGGGATCGAACTGGCGCCGCAGAGGCCGTGGGCAGCTTTGCAACCCAGCGCTCAACCGCTGCGCCACCGGGGAGGCCCTAAAGGAGTTCTTTTGAAACTAAAACTTCAGGTTAAATCACTAGTGGTTTGGAAAGTTGATTTAGTACTTGAAACCTGGCTCTTATGAAAATAGAAAATATACTGTTATGAAACATTAGCTTATACATGATATACATGTGTATATCTATGTGTATTAGTTTGCAATACAAATAAATTTCTTAACTGGCAGTTGCATTATAAGTTTGAAAGCCAGTGTCTAAAGAAACTAGTTCATCTGCAGAAGACCTATCAGAATGTTCACTTAGCAGAAAGTGGGAAAATCACTTAAATATCAAGAATATGGAAATTTGTAATTGTTATGATGAACTACTATGTATAGGACACTAGGAAATGAGGATATGTCAACACAGATCTCCTTAAGAAAAACACAGGGTTGCAGCAGGGTATAAGCAGGACTCCATTAATAAAAAGCTTGGAATGATTGAAAACAAAAGGATTCAGAAAAGTATACCTAAATTGTTTTAAAAGCATGAAAATAATAAATACCAAATTCTAAAGACTGGCCATCTCTAGGGAGATAAGAGGACGAGTTTAGGAGGCTCACGCAACCCTATCTGTTGTTTTTAAAATTCAAAAGCAGGTATGACAAAAGCCTGTTAAGTTCATTACATTAGTCCTGATTGCTTGAAATACTTTTTTTTTTTTTAAGATTATGCATACAAGAACTGGGGTATTAAGAAGAGGTGTCGGGGGGTGAGAGGATTCACCAGACAGTGGGGAGCAGAACTGGTGGATCTACTGAAATACACTGCTGAGGGGAGCATTGAGTGAGACAGGAGGTCTGCTGCGCATTGTGGATCACCTTCCTGGCCAGGGATCAAACTCATGCTGCTGTGGCTGGCAGTGGCTGACGATAGCTTGAAAACGCTGTGTCTTTAACCCCTGCGCCACCAGCGAGGCCCATACATAATTTTAAAACTAACAAATGGTGCCAAACATTTGTGAATGATAGTCTGGTTGAAATTTTAGTGTGTACCCTATTTTGTGTAGTGTGATATGTAGAAGATTAGAGTGGTAGTAAATTCGGGCACGTTTACCAGCTGGAGAGTGTGTTAGTATAATGAAAGTCCTAAGATTTGATACTTGATTTCTCTTAGAGAGCCCATTTTTCTAGTTTTTGTCACATGTGTCCTCTGATGAGCTTTTATATATTTGCTTGCAAATTTTACTTCTAAAAACAAACTTAAGAAAGCTACAATTAAAAACCAAGTATGCATACTAACAATCTAAAATACGCTCAAAGTTAAATTTTTGAAATCTTATAAATTTTATCTGCTTATAAATTTTGGCTTAATTTTGGTTTACAGAGAGATATCCATGAATGTGGACATAGTGTGAAATTTCCTGCTTGCTGTTAAACCCCTTGTAGCCCTGTGACCACTAGCAGAGTCACACAATGCAGTGAGTGTATAATACATTTTACACTACATGGCATATAGTAATAATATGGCATACCACACTGCCCTTTGAGACATTTGAGTTTTGAGTCATTTATACCTCTTTCAAATTCTGAGTACCTAATAATGTAGCTGTAGCTCAAGGGTAACATTAGAATTATGTTGCTACCAATAGTATTTACTATTAATAATACACATAATCCTCATTAGTTACTTTGTAATGCCCAGGGAATATATGCCAACTTTGGAGGATTTCTTTGAAGAAGCCATTGAACAGGCGGACCCTGAAAACATGGTTGAAAATGAATATAAGTAAGTACTGTTCCTCAAGAGCTACTCTTCTCAATATTTTTTTCGTAAGGGTTGTATTATTCACTTTGAACTATTTATGACATGTAGTTAGCACTCTGAACAGTATGACCCTATCTGACTGGAGTTGAGAGTCTGCCCAGTTCTTCATCCTGTTACCAACCAGTGATCTTTAAAATAAATTCACAAGCCAGATCTTCTGCTTAAAATCTTCCAGTAACTACAATACCTACCAGTTAGGATGAAATCCTAGTTCCTTACTGGAGCCTAAAAGACTTCTGTATCCAGCTCAGACCTACCTCTCCAACCATATCTCCTCCTCTTTGCAATTTTCTTTCTGCTCGAGACGTGTTTTTGTTCTTCAACTCAGGTCTGTCTGCCTCACCTTTGTACTTTTGTTTCTTTCTACTATCCCGTTTGCTTTGAAACTTCTGCCAGGGCAACTTCCCTCGTGTCTCACTTCAGCTCTTATAAGAAAGTTCCTCAGTGTTTTTTTTCCTGTTCAAGCAATACCTCTCTGCTTTCCCTCTATAATGCAGTACTGTTTGTTGTATTTCATAGCACATATCATCTGAAATTCCCATTTCTCACCCTTATCACTTTCAGAAATTGTTTTATACCTTGTATATCAATGATTGCCAACACATCCCCCATTTCTATATGTCAGGTCCTCCCTCAGCACCCACCTTATTATATATCTCCGAGGTAGGAGACTTTTTACCTCCATTTTACAGCAAAGGAAATTGAGGCAGAGAGTAAATGTATTTACTGAAATTCTCAGCTAGTAAGTCACAAAAGCCAAGAAAATCACTCCGGCCCTTCTCTTAACTATGTTAGAGTATCTTGAGTGTTCAGAGTACTCTATGGTCTTCACCACACTCAAGGGTCCAGCTCAACAAGTATTTGTTGAATTTGCTGATTTATCACTGTTGCTAAGATTGGGTGCATTCATTCTTGAAAGTAATAATTCTTTAGGATAGGTTTAAGATTGCGAATGGTATGGCTCTCTGGGGAAAAACAATTTGTGTGTATTAATTTTATAAAAGATTCAAATTAAACATGTCAGAGAAAGACTAGGAACATTCTGGGCAAAATCTGGTAGCCTGGTGTAACTAAGAGTCCCCACTGTCTGAGTAGCCTTGCAGGTGGCCAGCATGTCTCAGATATGATGAGACTCATTTATAGGCATTGTTATATACATCAGATTGCTACTGAAGAACTTCAGGGCACTTCCAAATGACTCGCAGACATTCATAAGGGGAAAGAAATTATGCTCAGGAGATTTCTGAGGCTTGCCCACTTCCAAGTAATTATCTTAAGAATTTTTCTGAGGTTTCCATTTTTTACCTTACTATATACCACCTATTATTGCTGTGCTCATTAGGGAAACAATTCACAGATTGTATTCTTGGCATCAGTGATTATTGTGTTGGCTACTGAATGTTTCCCTTTCGAGTATTGGAGCCATCTTATTCATTGAGATTGACAGTGACTGAATTAAAAGCTTAGGTGTTACATAGGTAGATGAGCAAATAGTGGCTAAATTTATATCATCAAAACTCAATAATGAATTTATAAAATATGAAATTCACTCTTTGAACCTAGTGAACCAACTATGATTTTTTTCTTTATTCCATATATTTAGGTGGATGATCTGTACATACAATATCTAACCAGTACTGGACTCATATAATTGATCTTAAAATTAAGTAAAATGTATGCAAACTTAAAATGTATTTGTTGCATATGAACCTGCCTCTTCAGACTGTTGGTTTCTGCTGTTATTTGCAAGTGAAAGTGAACTGAATACAGAGAGGTTCATTAGCTGTAGGATCAGAATGAAAAGAATGGTGTCTCCTGCTACATACCGTATACAGTTTCACATGAAGATAACTACACTAACTAACTAGAAGGAAATACAGGAACAGAAACCTATAATGAGACATCTCTCTCTTTATAGGGCAGTGAACAATTCAAATTATGGTTGGAGAGCCCTGAGACTACTAGCACGGAGAAGCCCTCATTTTTTCCAGCCAACCAACCAGCAGTTTAAAAGTTTGCCAGAGTATCTTGAAAACATGGTAATAAAGCTAGCCAAGGAATTACCAGTAAGTAATAAAGATCAAACTTTTCATAGCCTTTATTCACTGTTATCTGCTTTAAAATTACCATCACACACAATAAAGATTGCTGTTACTATTTTGAGCAGAAAGTTGGATTTATGTGAAGAAAACTATGGTCCACCCCCAGCCCTTATTTTTGAATGAATGAAGAAAAAAATCCATTTGAGTATATATAGGAAAGGATTAAATTGATAAGGAAACTTTAATAATTTTTTATACTGTATATATTTTTATCTAAGTCCTTAATACTCTGGAAAACCTATTAGCCACCTGTAAACTCAGACATGAGTTTTTCCTGTTTGCCAATACATTATATTATATTGTCTGCTACCACAAAGTAGGCAACTTGGTCATTCTTTCTACATTGTTCTCTTTTCCTATGTAGTTTTCCAATACAGTAAGAATTATACCTTAATACCTAGTAAACTTCTCAAATTTTAAGGACACAGTTGCTCCCCCTCCTACCCCCCACCCCCACAACACCCCCCGCAATCTTTCCTAGAGCTTGCATTTATAATTATCACATGCTAGGTATTTGCAAACCAATTTACTGTGTTCTTGAATGCATCCCTTCGTCCCAGGTTGGGGGGGAGGGGTCTTCCCAACTCTCAAGTCGTCTTCCTCTGTCTACTACTCCTCTAGGTTATTAACACTGTCCCATCTGCAATTCTTATCCCACATTCGTTTTTAACACTCTTAAGGTTTTTTATCCTATACTTGGAGTCTCACCACTCTTATCTAAACCACAGCTGTCCATCCCCAGCAATCTAACTCTAGAAATTGGCATATCTTTTAGTCAATACTTTCTGTTTGTTTTTAGCCTCCTTCTGAAGAAATAAAAACAGGTGAGGATGAAGATGAGGAAGATAATGATGCCTTACTGAAGGAAAATGAAAGTAAGAATTGAATTTTCTTGGTTATTTTACAAGCGGAAAAGATTGTGGTTCTTTGAGAGGTATGCTATTTAATTTGATATAGTTGTCAACATCTACCATTTATCTCAGCTTTATTTCTTATAGTGAGGATTTAAAACACTGCTTGACAATAGCTTTCTAAATATTTTATACAATGAGAAATTTGATTTAAGAACCATATTCACCCAAGGAGACTATAAGAAAGAAGTGTTTTAATTTAAAATAAAGCTTACTTACTAAAGGTAATTAATATTTCAGTGGCCCTGTATCTTCTCAGTTTTGTTGTATACTTTGAATTGTGTATGTCCTCGCTTTTCATACATAATTACCTTTCCTTTGTTTTCTAGGTCCTGATGTTCGGCGAGACAAACCTGTAACAGGGGAACAAATAGAGGTATTTGCTAACAAACTGGGTGAACAATGGAAGATTTTGGCTCCCTATTTGGAAATGAAAGACTCAGAAATTCGACAGATTGAGTGTGACAGTGAAGACATGAAGATGAGAGCTAAGCAGCTACTCGTTGCCTGGCAAGATCAAGAGGGAGTACATGCAACACCTGAGAATCTGATTAATGCACTGAATAAGTCTGGATTAAGTGACCTTGCAGAAAGTCTAACTAATGACAACGAGACAAATAGTTAGCTTCTTTCTTTTTTTTTTCTTTTTTATTAAAACTGTGATAAGATTTTGTTACCACACAGCATTTCATAGAGGTCCACTGGTTTTGGTAAACAATAAACATTTTTATAACAGTTGTTGTACAGTTAGTTCGCTGGTGCTCCAAGAACAACAGAACACATACTGGCTCTTAATAACTGACCTCAGGGTTTGAGAGGAAAGTAGGGGTGGACTGGGAAAATAGCCAACGTGACCTCAAGGTCACATAATATATTTTTGTTGAATATATTTCTAATAAAGTCAGTAAGTGATATTAAGGAGCATGGTGTTTCCTAAGATGTGCTATATCAAATTAGTAGTTAAAAATTTGACTGACTTCTCCACATTTCCCAGAGTAAGACTTCCTGAAACTCACTGTTCCAGTATCACTCATAATTTAAAGCAGAGGATTAGCAAACAATGGTCCATTCATCGTGACTTTATTTTTTTTTTATAAGCAAAATTTTATCAGTTCACAGCTATGCTCATTCTTTAGGTAGTATCTATGGCTCCTTTCAGACTGCAACAGCAAAGATAAGTAGCTGCAACAAGACTGTATGGGCTACAGAGCCTAAAATGGTCACTATCTGTTCCAATACAAAAAATGTTTGCCAAACCACCAACTTTCAAAGAAATGAGGGGCATTTCAAACCTAGTTATTATAAATTGTTAAAGTAAGGATACCTGGCTCAGAGATTTTTGTGATGTTCAAATGCTATGTAGGTGAAAACATCCTAGAAATAGCAAAGCACTGTGCAGTAATGGCTGGAGATAGTACCTTCTACCTTTCCTGATCCCACATAAACATTACCCTTTGGGACTCTAAGATTAGGTCATCATTGTTTTGAATCCTGAAAAAGGATGTTTAATTGCATATTACATATAAATGTTCTTGCTTAGGCTTAACTTCACTTGCTAGTCCAACCATGATGCTCTAATATCAAAAGGGCCTCAGTGCTAGTGGCACAGCATATAAGGCACACTCAGGAATCAGACATTTTCTTGCCTACTTTCCTTTCTCAAAGACCTTATATGCAAGGTCAAATTCTAAAGAAGTCTTACTAATTTAAAAAACCTAAAATATCTTTGGAATAATGCTTGTTTGAAATAAAATGAAATCAAATTTTTTAAATTAAGGAATTATAATTTTAGAATACTGATTCCATAGAAGATATATGTAATTTGTTCTAAACCAGAGAATTAATTAGCATTCTGTAGCTAAATTTATGTCCTCAAAATTACTCAGACCAAATAAGACTGGATTAAAAAAAAACTTGCAGTTACTAGCATCATATCAGTAGATATTACAATTCTTACAGTCTCATCCTCCCCATTGTATTCTGCACCCTCCCTCAAAACAGAGTATCGATTGCCAATAATCAGAATTTAGCCAAAGAAGATATTTACAGATATTTCCCTGAAATGATTATCTTATACCCTCGTATTCTCAGATTATACCATATTGTTCAAAGTTGAGGAAAGTGGCAACTGTTCTCTAGGCTCTAACAGTTACCAGTATTCTGCTCTGTGGAGCACTGAAAGAGCATAAGCAAAGATGAAAGATTTTATGATAATCCCCAAAACTTTATTATAAATATCCTGACAGAGACAAATTAACTTAATATTGTATTCTTTCTCTAGTAATATAAGGCTCCTGAAACAAAGATGAAGAATTGGAAGATATTAAAATGTAATAATCCTACCATATTGAAATACCTTGTACTCTTGGTATTCCTACCATCATTGTAAAAACCGGTATTAAGTCGAGAGAATCATTAAGGTTTTGGGAATTGACAGTAAAAACAAACACACCAACTGAGCCAAACAGACATGACTGATAATATCGTTGCAATTATTATCCAAAGAACTCCATTACTTTTACAAGAATGTATTTTTTTAAACAGATTATAATGCGAGCAGGCAAACAAGATAACAAACATTTGTAAATGGATGCTTAACAGCAAAGTAAAATTATGTAAATCTGCAGAAGCTATAGTATTAAACATACCTGTACTTCACCCAAGCTCCAACACTCAACAGACAAAAGACTTGAGGTCAAAGCTGTTAATCCCTCTTATATTTTTATTATTAAATATCCTCATTTTCTAAAAATAAGCAGCCAGAGCTTATCAACAATTTTTTAAGGTTGATTACTACAAAACCATTGCAAAGTTAAATGTACAAACCATAGTACATCAGAGAGACAAGGTAATGTATAATCAAATGTACTATTATTGATCACAATTTATTTCAAAGTCATGAAAAGCCAGCACAGTCAGGCTGGGTAAATACTTGATTGTACCCATGTTCCATGGGATGTGGACAGCAGCACTGAGTTACACAATGAGAGCAACACTTCCTTTCCACCTTCCTGGCAAAATTTGTTAGATAAGGCAAAGGATAGGCAGCTACTGAATGGTGGTTTAAACCATGCAAGAACAACAACAAATAATAGAGTAATAGGTGTGCAATAAACATCTGATTGCTGAATCTTGGGCTGAAAAGAGCAGGGAGAAAAGTTATCACAGAAGATAATGGTTCAAAGGATTCTGACCCAGAATTTTAAAAAATTAATGCAGAAATAAACTTTTAAAAAAAATGTCGCCCTGCCACCTTTACACAGGGCAGCACAGTCCAAAGACATTTTCTCTTCTGTAAGTTTTTAGATAGAGTGGTCTGCTTCTACCCTCCTTCGTCCCAGGTAAAGGGGAAACATAAAACCACCTAAACATCTTCCTCTAAAGCCCTAGATTATAGAAAAGATCAACAAATAACATTTATTTCACACCTAAGCATAAATAGCTAAAATGAAGATTACTATTCACTTTCCTCTTCCATTATTTCAACTCTGCGAGGCCCATAAAGTAGAACATAAGCTATATGCCAGTCTCCACCACCAGAAAGCCGCAAGATATCCTCTGGTGTCACGATGCTGACCTTATCGTCATCAAACTTAATCCATTCATCTAAAAAACGAGACAAAAATGATTAATATTTATGAATTTTTCAGTGTTTAAAAAAAAAAAATACTGGGTAGTTTTATGTTGTTACACTGAGAGTTCTCAAAGCATGGTCCCTGGACTACTCAGGATAAAGAGCATTTCAGGGGATCCACGAAGACTTTCCGAAACAATACTAAAACATTTGCCTTTTCCCCTCTCTACAGAGTGCTTTGGAATTTTCCAGGAACTACACAAAGTATAATAAACAGCAGAACGAAGGAAGACAAAGAGGAATGCAACAATTCCCTATTAAACCAAACAAAACATACTTATAAAAATGTAAATCAGTACTGTATTTTGCTAATTTTTTTTCTGCTTTGGAAAATATTTTTTAATGTTACATTAATATATAGTGGGTTTATTACTGCCATAAACTCATTCTTCAATGAGTTTAATTTTTATTAAAGTAGATAATAATAAATAAAAATCCTTAGGGGTTCTCAGAAATGAAAAATGTAGAGGGTGTTTGAGACCAAAAGTTTAAGAACCACTGTGCTATATAAACTTTATACTAATCATACTTAACACAGGATATAGCAAATGAAAAAAATAATGGAATCTTTACCTTGTTTCCTTTTCACCCATGACACATAATGACCTGAAGAGCTAGACCTTCCTTGGTGTGTTAGCACTGCTTGTAAGTCATAGTATCCACAATTATTAGAGCCAATGTCTAAAAAAAAATGTGAATCCAGTAATATTAGATAATGAACACACAAGTACTTTTCCATGCCAGGTAATAAGAACAACTCTGAAGCTTAGGAATTAACAGAATTCAGTAAGATACTACTGTCCAATCAAAGTTAACACATCATAAAAGATTTCTTAAGAAGTATAATACCAGGGGCCTTCCTGGTGGCACAAGGGGTTAAGTACCCCATTATGCAGCAATCCGCAGCTTCTGCAGCACAGGTTCAATCCCCAGCTGGCCAGGGAGAAACCCACATGGCGAGGCAGACCGCTCCTGATTTCCCCGCTGCTCCCCTCAGCAGTGTATTTCAGTCAGTCTGCCTGTTCTGTTCCCCACTCTCTCTCAGGTGAATCCTCTCACACCCCCACCCTGCCCAGCATCTCTGGCCTGTACCCCAGCTCTATGCATAAATAAATAAATCTTAAAAAAAAAAGTACGGTACCATTTAGGTAACTACACACTAAAAGGTGATCTGTACTATATACCTTATAAGGTTAATATTTCAATATTACTATATATACTAATATAAACTAATATTACTATATACCTTATAAGGTTAATATTTCCAGAAACACAACTTTTTTTGAAAGCATGGTATCTGAAAAAACATGGCAAGACAGTAATTTTACCTTAAAAAAAAAAAAAAACAAAAAACCCACAATAACCCAATTGAAATGATAATCTTACTTACCATCAGCAAAAGAAAAGGGTTCATACTTAATTTCCTTCTGCGGACTACTTTTTTTGTCACTCTGAGGAAAAAAATACTTAGTTTTAAATCATGATATTGGAAATAAAATTTGTATTCTTGATGAGTATTTAATTCCACAAATAATTACCTGTCTATAATGAAAAGCACCAAGGCAAAACAAAGAAAAATAATCTACATTACAAATTACTACAGTGAACAAAAAACTAAACCCAGAGGGTCCTTCACTTCAACAAAAAACAATTATAGGCCTCCCTGGTGGCGCAAATGGTGAAGATGCAACTTATGGAAGCTATCCGCAGCCATTGTAGCACAAGTTCAATCCCAGGCCAGGGGAGCTGCCCATATGGTGCAGCAGACCTCTCCTGACTCGCCCGCTGCACCCCTCAGCAGTGTATTTCAGCAGATCTGCCTGTTCTGCTCCCCATTTGTCTCTGTGAATCCTCTCACCATCCCCACCCCCCACACCTCTGGCCTGTACCCCAGTTCTTGTAAGCATAAATAAATAAATCTTTACCAAAAAAAACAATAATTATATGTATAGTAACAGGCCCTCTGATTATAGGATCAACTTTAAACCACTAAAGCTACAGAATATACATGAATACAGGTGCTCCAGAGCAGAAAAAGGGAACCCCAATTCTAAAATGTTACCAAATCACTATCGAACCACACAGGTTTAAAAAACAAACCAAAAAAACGCCTCAAAAAAAAAAGCCAAATTGCCATGACTAATATTAAATCTACTAAAGCCCTAGAAACCTGCACTTCACAGTAAATTATATTTACTATCAATAAAAGAGTTAAGACTATTTTAGACAAGGATATTTAGAGGCAACTCCCTGCCTCAACCCATTTTCAATGTGTTAATACAAAAAAAAATTAACTTATCTAGGCATATGAGCACAAAATTCTTGAAAACTACAATGGCAATGAAAACGATGCCAGCTGTTTAAAAATAGCTTGAGTGGCAAGAAGTCAAAGGATCCTACAACAAAAAATGTCAAGTAGGTCAACCATTCCTATCTACCTACCTATCTACCTAGCTACCTATCTACCTATCTACTTAAAAAGTAGTCTCTAACATGCTGCAAGGGAGCGGGGGAGAGAGGGATCGGAGGAAGGGAGGAGCACAGGGGACTTTCAAAAAAGCAAACAGTTAATAAACCAATAGGGAGTAAAGAATATAAGATCAATTTATAAAAATTAATTGCAATTAACAATCCAAAACAAAAATAAGCAAGCAATGCCACAAATAAAAAAAAATAAAATAAAATAGATAACAATACTTAAATTTAACCAAAGAAATACAAACTTGTACACCAAAAACTGTAAAACAGTGTTGGAAAAATTAAAGACCTATGCAACAGAAAGACTATCAAGTTCATTGGCAGGAAGACTTAATACTATTAAAACGATAATACTCTCCTAACTAATCAACAGTTTCAACATGACGTGTATCAAAATTCCAATTGCTTTCTTTTCGAAAAAAACGGACAAGCTGACCCTAAAATAAATAATGGAAATACATACAATTCAGAGTAGCCAAAACAATCTTAAAAAAATAAAGTCTGAAGACTCACACTTAGCTACAATCCTTAATATAGCTTTACTACAAAACTATAATCCCTACTACAAACCTACATAACCACAAACATGGTACCGCCAAAATGACAGCTACATAGCCCAAAGGAATAAAACTGAGAGTCCAGAGATGTCTGGACTCTACAAGTGTGCCAAGACCATACAATAGGCAATAAACAGTGCTGATACAAGTAGATATTCACAAGCGAAACAATGGATTTGGACTTTTACTTCATCACATATACAAAAATTAACCCAGAATAGATCACAGGTCTAAATGGAAGTTATAAAATTCTTAGAAGAAAACAAAGAAACAAATCTTCATGGCCTTGTATGAGTCAATGGTTTCATAACACCAAAAGCGTTATAATGTGTTATATCACAAGGGGAAGCTGTGAAAGGTACCTCTTTGTATTAGTTCTTACAACTGCATGTTCTTCTACAATTCTGAAAGTTTAATTTTTAAAAAACTTTCTTTTAACACACACAAATGGTAACCTACAGAAAATTTTAAATTCAATACATAATATCAATAAATATTTGATATAAATATTTGGAAATATTTCTAGTTACAAGGAAATATTTTCATTTTGACAAAGAAATTCCAACTTATAATTTAGCTGTTTCTTATCTAACTATAAAATACAATTATGCATTACATATAAATTTGCTGTTATAATTTTATACCAGTCATAGGCACAACAGTAGCACTGACTAAAGATACAACTTTGTTGTGACAGTTGGTATGAATGAATCGTTATTTCATACAATTCCATTAAAAATGGAGGCAACATCTTGTCTTATGAGGAACAATAATAAAGTATGTAGAAAGTACTATGCAAGATTTTATGTTTTAAGGAGATAAGTATAATAAGAGGACTATAAGCTACAGATTATAGGAGGAAAGAAAATATTGAGCCTTACTCTGTTATAAAGTACCATTTACCACAAATAGTTGTTTTTCTTATGCTACAAATACCTAAAACTTGAAAGGCACGCTTGCAACAATACATGTAGAATTTCTATATATGTTAAATAAAATAGTTTTGTACATTTTTGCTAAAAGATTAACAATACTTGTAATTGTTAAACAATGATAAAATACTAAAATATTAAGATTAGAAAATCTCAGTAAGAACCTACGGTCTTTGGTTGTAGATTCACTTTTTTATCTTCTAGATCCTTGAATTTTGATCGAAAAGAGACCATTTTCTCTTGGAGTTCTGGTGTACACAGTTCGTACACATCCAACATAAGAGGAAATTTAACATCCTATATACAAAAACAAGAATAAAAATTTGTAGAAATCTCTTGGAAATCTGTGCATTGAAACCTACAGTGATTGTTTTCAAGAAAGAATCTGTTCGTAACTTTTACAGATAAATCTTTTACAAATAAACCATTTTACAAATAAACCACACATTTTAACCCATAAAACTGACCACAGAAGAATGATTAGAATTTATATGGCAAAAAAAGTATTTCAGAATTATTAAGACCATTTGCTGTAAAAATAATCAATATACCTAAAACCAGCAGGAGTCAATTTGCAAATGGATTCACATGACATTTAAATCTGAAATACAATCTTACATAGAAACAACAGTGATAAAGTTCAATTTTTTTTTTAAAGATTTATTTATTTATACAAGAACTGGGGTACAGGCCAGATGCACGGGAGGGTGAGAGGATTCACCAGAGACAGAGCAGGGAACAGAACAGGCAGACTGACAAAATACACTGCTGAGGGGAGCAGCAGGTGAGACAGGAGCCATCTGCCGTGCCATGTAGATTCTCGCTGGCCGGCTGGTTGGGATCAAACCCACGCTGCAGAGGCTGCAGACAGCTTCACAGTGCGGCGCTCAACTGCCTGCACCACCAGGGAGGCCCGATAAAGTTCAATATTAATAAATATTTCAATTTAACACTAGGCATCTCCTGCCCACCTATGACAATGCAAGTGTTTCTTTTCATAAAACTTTTCCCTTTGCAAAATAGGAGTGGCAGCTCTCCTGCCCACCTGTGACTACACAGGTGCCTCTTCTTCCATCTTTTTCTGATAAATCTGTCCTTTTAAAATGTAATAAAATAAATTTAACACTAGTAGATACTTCAACTATACTTAACTTCCTCATGTAATACTAATATAGGAAAATACTATAAACTGCAGCTCAAGATGCTAGTTTTATATATATATATATGTATAGAGAGAGTTGTATATTGTTGAATAAAGTTGTATATTGTTGAATAAAGTTGTATATAGTTATAGTTTTATATATATATATAAAAATATATATATCCCAAAGATCCAGCACTTTAGATATATAGCCAACAAAACAGCAAAATAGTAAGGTTGGTACCTACATCAAGAGACTACAATTTAAATATTCTTTGGGCAGCAGTTATTTATACTCCTTTCACCTAGAAGAAAGGTACTGCCTTTATTCTATGCCCTACCCCACTGCCATCCCCAAACTACTGGGTCAGCATCTTTACAGCTGAGGATCTGGTCTACAGCACTGTTTACGAGTAGTGGAGAAAACCCATCAGAACTACCTGGAAATCTTTTGAAATACTTAAGATTTCAGGCTCCACTTAATCAGATGCTTGGAGGGCAGGGGTAGAAAGGCATGCATATGATTTAAAAGTACAGGGCCTCCCCTGGCGGCGCAGTGGTTGAGCACTGGGCCGCGAGGCTGCCCGCAGCCTCTGCAGCACCGGTTCGTTCCCCAGCCAGCGGCAAGGGTACCACAAAAAAAAAAAAAAAAAAAGTACAGGGCTTCCGTGGTGGCGCAAAGGGTTAAGACACAACATATGAAGCTATCTGCAGTCTCTGCAGCACGAGTTCAGTCCCCGGCCAGGAACAACCCACATGGCGCAGCAGACCTCTCCTGACTCGCCCGCTGCTCCCCTCAGCAGTGTATTTCAGTTAGTCTGCCTGTTCTGTTCCCCACTCTGTCTCTGGTGAATCCTCTCAATCCCCGCATCTCTGGCCTGTACCCCAGTTCTTGTAGGCATAAATAAATAAAAAATACAATGGATAATTTCAATACAATATATATTCATGACTAAAAACCACTTTCCTAATGTTAATAACTCTCCCATTTATAGTATTTCAGAGAAAGTTCAACTATTCCTAAAGGAATAAGTAACAGGTTTTATTGTAAATTAAAGAATTTTCATATTTTATACTAAAAGCTCATTACTAACCTTAAGAACTTTAGCATTCACAGATTCCTTCTCTTTATAAAAAAATCGAACCATCTGAATAGTCAAGTAAGCAGGTAGTCGGCTAATCTTGGACTGAAAAGGAAACACAAAAAAAAAAACCCTTTACATGCAAATGCCACAAAAATTTTTAACTCCGTGCTTTAGTAAAACACAAAGACTGGGTAACATTAATTAACTAGAAACCTTTGAATGCTAGGAAATTCAATTTCAAAAGGAATGCACAACTTACAGATTTGAGGTACAAAGCATTTCTTTGCAATGATGGAGACTGTTTGGTGATTTCTTCCTGAAGTCGCTAAAAAAGAACGTAAAATCAAACATTAGTTTGAAGAATTTTTTTCCTGCAATACAGACTACCTTTAATTTTTTTAAAAATTAGTATTCCTCAATAGAAAACATACAATATCTGCACACCGGTATGGATTTGTACCAGGGAGGAATAATTTGAATACAGACACAATGCTTTGAAATATGATTCAGTTCTTTAATATATCAAAATAACATAATGGCATGAGGTCCTCAGAATGTAAAATAATGGTTGAAAGATTTTAATTGTGAGCCAAATGTTTCTGAGAGTTTATATTATATTTTATGCAATACATTAAAGCCTTTTATGGCATTTTTCCACTTACATATTACCAGAATATTCATACTATATTAGAAATTAAGACAAGGAAATCCTTGTTTGTTTTATGTATACATCTTCCAATCAATTATTATTAAATTTGAAAAAAGTCTTAACAGAAAACCTCAGTTAATTTAACAAATGTGGGAAAACATTTAGCACCCATCTTAATCAACATGACTGCCTTTCCTTTATAGCCTATATAACCTTAGGCAAGACAGTTTCATCTCTGCGCATCATTTGTAAATGGTGATAACAGTACCTACATATAATGCTGTTGTTAAAATTACATGAATTATTATGCAGAAAACGAGTTGGCATATATTCTTTATCAAGTGAACGTTAGCTAGTATTTCTAATATTGTAAGAAAAAATCAGAACTACTAATGTGCTTTGCTTTAACATAAACATACCAATCAGTTAAAACAATTTACTGTTTTTTTTAATAAAACATATTACACATGTGCAAAAAATTTAAGTTTGATTTTTAAAAATCACTAATTACAATATATAAGAATCATTGTAAAGTCACTTTTTAATGCTTAAATAAGTATAGTCAGTATTGGAGAGGTAGAGAAACGTGGAGTAAAATTACTCAAGAACAATCAGAACAAATGATAGTAAAGCATCTAAAAATTTTACCATGGCAATAAATACATCTCAGGAACAGACATTTACAAATAATTTGGGTGACTATTATTCATCAGGTAAGTTATCATATCATCACCAATTGTAAATATCACTATCAATTACAAGTACCAAGTATCCTTAGTTTTCCTGGAATTTTATAAAATTATGAAGAAAATATCATCTGGAGATACCTTGTCAAAGCATTCTACTCCAGTCTCCAATTAACACACTTCATGCTTTGATGGCCTGAAACTAGTACATCATAATTTGTTTTAGGACTCTTACTAGTTAGCTAGTATTTGTGTTTTTAAAGTGAACTTCTCTAAAAGCTATTATGCCTCACAATGTCCTCTCAGCACATTTTTATCAACTGATAAACACACAACCTTGTTTTTCATGTGTTTCTGTTTAATGACTCCTTACTTAACATTAACACTGAAATCACAGCCAACTACACTGTAATTAACCCCTAAATGAAACTTATCTAGCTTATGTTATTTTCTCCTTAAAGCATATCAGAGTTCTTGTGCTTTAAACATTAAGACAGCACACCTCAGCATTATGCCTATAGTCATTTTAAACAGCAAAGACACCAATAAAAATGCAAGAAATATGGCACTAAAATTATTGAAAAAAGGACAACTGTTTAGGGCCTCCTTGGTGGTCTAAAGGTTGAGTCTCAGAGCTACCACCATGATGGACTGAGTCTGTTCTGGGCCAGAGAGCAAATGCATCTCTCCTGTCTTGCCTGCTGCTCCCCGCTCTATCTCTGTATTTCAGTGTGTAGATTTGCCTGTTCTGCTGCCCACTCTGTCTCTGGTGAATCCTCTTACCCCCACACCTCTGGCCTGCACCTCAGTTCCTCTATGTAAAAACAGTCTTTACAAAAAAGGGGGGGAGGGCAGCACTCCCTCTGCCCACCTGTGCCTATGCAGGTGCTTCTTTTCACCAACCCTCTCCCTCTGCAGGGCAGCAGCTTCCTGCCTGCCCGTGACCTGTACCTACCGGGGCTTCTCTTCACTGACCTCCCTCAGCGGAGGCCGCTCTTCTCAAGGCTGCCCGACTGCAACCATGCAGGCCTCTCTTAGTAAACCTGCCTCTTTCAGGCAGCTCTTCCTGCCCGCTTGTGTCTATGCAAGTATCTTTTACTCTTTTGTCCCTTTCCCTAATAAATAGGTTCTTTAAATATATATATATAAAATAAAAAAGGGACACTTGTTTATAGAATGAGAGCTGAAATAAAAACAAAGCATCACCATTGGGGGGCCTTAAGTGGAATAAAGTGTCAGCTACTCAAAATTGTGGCACTCTGAGCATGTCTACAACAACCATGAAAGCACCATGAGTATTGATGTTGGGTTTACAAATAAAGTTTAGCATTCACAAATATGAGAAAAGTAAAAAATTAAGTGCATCTGCAAATACAAAATCTCCAAATAACAAGAATCAGTTGTAATTGTCCTTACCAATTTAAGTCCTGTGAAAAGATACTTGACTTCTTGATTAATAAAACAACTAAGCTGAAGTTGATTTTCCTTTCCTTTAGTGACTTCTTCTTCTTCTGACTCCGTACACTTCATGCTTTGCAAAATAAGATAAGGAATATGCAAGCAGGCATTCAATTTGTTATATAATCTTGAATATAATAAATTATCCTAATGTCATTAAAACCAGTAACACCTTTCATTGGTGTTTAAAACATTTCGGTCTCACAAGAGTTCATTCACCTACCAACAAGACGGAGTAATTAGTGTACAGTAACACATAAACTCTGGTTATAACACATTAATCTGGTCATAAAATGGTCTTAATAACCTAAATACACATAAACAAGAAATCTTAGACCCTCAATTTCTATTCATGAAAACAGAACTTCCCTAAATTCATGTTTTATTAATTTGTTCAATCTAATGTATATAATTTAGTTGAACAGACTACATTTCATACATTAAAATTAGAACAGGGAGGGGAGGACAGCACAGTGGAATGTGGTGGGAGACTGGATATTTTGGTGATGGAAAAACTTTGGTGACTGCATTTGAAGGGACAAATCTTATTGGTGAGAAAATAAACAAGGATGTTTTATATTACTAAAAAATATTAAAAAAATAAACATGCTAAAAAGTGTGAATTAAATTTGTTGTTTTTTACATTGTAAATGTTTTAAAATTCTAATAAATCAGTAATAGAAGAAAAAAAATTAATTCTTTATGAGGTGAATTAATGAGGTAGATTCTGGTAAAGATGTATTTAGGGAAAAAATAGTTTTAAAGTATACAATCCAATAGGTACATTTTTCCAAATTCCTAATTTCTACCTCTGAACAATTTTTCTTCATATCCATCCCACCACTCCAATCAGTAAACTGCGCTATGTATGCTAATCAGTTCTACTAAATTATGAGTAAACTCTATATAGATCTTGGCTTATAAGGATACGTAGTTTCAAACTCAACTCCGAAGAACTGATCAATTAAACTTTTCTTTTTAGATGGTGTCACTGCTGACGCAGATGAAGAATCTGTCTGCAAAAATAAAATTAAATATTCCAGTTTTACTTTATGAAGATATTGATGTTTATATCCTCCCACACAATCTAATTTAATAATACATACTCAAGCTTTTGAAAATGTAAAATCCTTCTATTGTTCAAAAATATTCCTGAAGGAATATAGATGCTCAACGAAATCAATTCAGCTTCACAAAGAATATACTCAATTCAAATGTCAAATGAAAGCTTTCAAACTAGGACTATAGACTGAGCATTTAAAGTATTCAATTACATGTCTATTACAATACGTTCATTTCAAGATCTTGGGGTATTGGGAGAACGGAATCAAAGTATACTAGTCTATAATCACAAATATTTTTCAATACCTCTTTTATGGAATCATCCTCTATGGCTTCTAATTTCTGCTGCAATACTCTCATCATTTGTATCCAACATTCATTAGCATCCTGCATTTTAAAAAGTGACACAGTAAGTCAATCTTGGCTTTCATGGTTTCAAGATAATTACTTTCCTTAGGGGCTGTCTTCTTCTTTAAAAATATTAAGCCAAGTGAGGTTATTATATGATCTTTGAAATAAAGAATTTCAGAATATTTTATTCACTCTTAACATAACAGCAGATGTTAGTATACTGGGTTCCTAATTTTACTTAACAGTTTAACACTATTCAAGACTCCAGGAATACATGGCAGTGAAGTAAATGGAAGTACTCCTAATGGAGAACATAGATAAAAAAAAATTCAGCAAAGAGAAGGGTTATGAAGGAAAAAAAGCTACATGGGAAAATAAGGTTGGGGAAGGGAAGTGTGCTATTTCAGTAGGATGGTCAAGGAAAACCTGGCATATAAGCCATGAAATTTGAGTGAGGCAAGGAAGCAAGTCATGATAACTGGAATGTTTAAAAAAATAACAAGAAAGCCAGTGTATCTAAAGAGAAATGAGCAAAGCAGACAGTGGCAAATGAAGAGATAAGAGGAAGTCAAGGACTAGAACTGGACAGAAAATCACTAGGTGGGCAAATTACAGAACTGAGACATACAGGAGAGGATGGAAAGGAGAGGGAAGAGCACAAGAGACTATGGTGATAGTTCACAGGTTATGTGGTGATGGGAGCTTTAGGAGGACTGCACCTAAGGGCAGAAATCAAATATTATACAAAAATGAACAACAATGTAAGAAAATAAAAATTAAAAAAAAAAAAAAAAGAAAATCACTAGGGAGTTTTGAACAAGGACCAACATAATCTTATTTACATTTTAAAAAGGAGTCCAGGGGCTGTGTGGAGAAACACTGCAGAAAGGCAAAAGCAAAAGATGATCAGTTTGTAGGCTACTGCACCAGTTCAGACAAGATATAACGGTGGAGTGAACTAAAGAGTACCAATTACTTGTATTTTCAAACACAATCCAAAAAATATGGTATGGTATAGGAAAGCTAAGTTTTACATTTACAAAATGAAAACCCACATGCCTTTACCCTGATTACCTGTTGAAGATACTGTCCTTGTTCACCCTTCTCTGCAAACTGTGGAAAAGCCATGTGCAAAAATTGTAGTAGAATAATAGGTGGAATACTAGAAGAGGTTTTATCCATGGAATCAAACAAGTCTCTAAGGGCTTAAAAACAAAGCAAAAACTGTCTTAGTAAAATAATGACATATTTAAAACAGGCAAGTAAAAGTTAATTCTCAACTAATACAAAAACCCCCTTCATAACTATTTTTTAAAGATTTATTTATTTATTTATGCATACATACATATATACATACATACAAGCACTGGGTACAGTCAGAAGCACAGGAGGGTGAGAGGATTCACCAGAGCCAGACTGACGAAACACACTGCTGAGGGGAGCAGTGGGCGTGACAGGAGAGGTCTGCAAACCATGTGGGACCCTTGCCGGTGGCTGGGGATCGAACCTGTGCTGCAGAGGCTACAGGCAGCTTCGCAGCCCAGCGCTCAACTGCCACGCCACAGGGGAGGCCCCTTCAAAACTATTTTTAAGTGTATCTTTTCTTCTGCAATTGCTGGATTCCTAACAAAAAATGTGGTTTTACAGTTTAAAAAAAATCACTAGAAGACTTTATAATACAATCACTAGCTATAACAACTTCTGAGCCCTGCCCTATTCTACCGACTCTTCCTCTATCCACCGTCTCCTTCCTCCATTGCCCCTCTCCACTCTTCTCTCAATCCCCTTGCCAGGTTTTGTCTTCCCAAACAAAGCAGGGTATATTCATTTAATACAGAGAATACATAACCTGTTTAGGGACCAATAGGCATAATGTTACTATTCTAATACCATGTTGCTATCTGACCATCAGGTTACCACTTCCAACCAACCACCCTGTAGCCCATATTTGGTTTCCATCTACTGTACTCTCTAGTAATGAAATCTGGTTCCTTAAACACACTTGCTGACATTACCAGACAGCTGAGATCCAGTTAATTTTCCTTTTTCAAAATTGTTCCTCTGGGCCTCCCTGGTGGTACAGAAGTTAAATTCTCAGCACTATCATGCCATGACCAGTTACTGTGGCATGAGTTCCATTCCCAGGCAGGGAGCTAACCCACAATGGGACAGCAGACCTCTCCTGTCCCGCCAGCTGCTCCCCTCAACAGTATATTTCAGTGGATCTGGCTGTTCTGTTCTCCATTCTGTCTCTGGTGAATTCTCTCACCCTCCGCACCTCTGGCTTACACCCCAGTTCTTATATGAATAAATAAATAAAAATAAATCTTTAAAAAAATAAATGGTTCTCAAATGGTTCAGAAGAAAAAAAAAATAAGAAAATGCATTAGAGACGAGATGTGACAAAAATAAATACATACACACATACACACAGCTATAAACACTATGATTTCAACGAGGACTCATTTGTGTAAAGACAAAAATGGAGTAATTCTGATATGCGGAATACCCCCTAAGACTCTCCTTTACAATGATTATGATAACGTTGACTGTAATAAGACCTATTTCTGGATATCCTTGAGGTTATCCCCAAAAATATATCTTACTAGCAGACTCTGACATAGAAATAATAATCCAAAAGATCCAAAAATTATTTTTCAAAATGGACCATTAGTGGTTTCTAATTTAGGTAAATTCTAAGTTGTTTAATGTAAGTCTAAGTACTACAATTATAATGAGCATTATGCTACACAAAACATATTTTGTAAGCTGAAAGGTACTAAATAAATTGAGTGAAAAGTTAACATTTATACTGTACCCCTTCTTGAAAAGCAGTATATTTGAGATACTGACCCGCAGTAATATATTGTGCTGAAGCCATTTCCCCTGAAGCTCTCAAGGCACCTGCATACCTAGGAACATTAAGATAGAATTAAATAATAGGATTCAACTGATTATAAAATTCAAATAAAGAAACCAGTTACAATGACTATAGCACTGTCACTGCAAGTTTCTCAAAGCTGTTCCAACCTTTCTATCTTCTCTTCTGGTCTTACTGCTATAAGCATTAAATAGGCAAAAAAAGAGTATTAAGAAACACGGGAATTTAGATCCATGAAACCTACTTTAAATTATTTTCCTTTGCTAATACTTCTAAAGCAAACATTTTCTAAAGGTCTCAGTGAACTAGGAAAACATACCCTTTCTCATGATTTGCTTAAAACAGTGTAAAACCAAAAAGTACATATTTAATGTCCATTATTATAAAGGAAATAAAATTAATGCAATTTCAGAAATAACAGGGGAAATAGTATTAGATCAAAAACATAACATCAAAACTCAATATACCTGCATTCACCATGAACTTGCTATATAAGATTAAATAAGTCATTTAAATTTCAACTCAACTTGTTCACCTATAAAATGAGTTTATGAGGACTTTCTATTAAATGATTTCTAAATCCACTTTCAGCTTTATAATTCTCAGTTACTGACAATAAGGACTGCCCATCATACACAATATTCAAGTCAGTCACTACTCATACACATAAAGGATCAGAAAATATCATCCAGATGTCAAATATTGAGGCGTGAAGGGATATTCCCATATCCTAGTCACTATTCACATTCACTATGATTAAAACTAAGTTTAGGTATACTACATACCCACTAAAGTAAAATGACAGATATGTATCACCCAATATTGGTAAGAATGTGGAGCAACCATAACTATGTATACAGTGAATAACATGGATGAATCTCAAAAACTATTCTGAGTGAACAAAGTCAGGACCCCCCTCCCAAAAAAGTCCGTTCGGTACATTTAAGTGCTAGAATGAACAAAAATAAAACGAGGTAAGAAGTTGGTTAGTGGAGGACACGAGAACTGACTGGGAAGTGGTTTCAGAAAAATTTCTGTGGCCTCCCTGGTGGCACAAGGGGTTAAGCACCGCACTGTGAAGCAATCCACAGCCTCTGCAGCACCAGTTCTATCCCCAGACGGCCAGGGAACAATCCACATGGCACAGCAGACCTCTCCTGTTTTGCCCGCTGCTCCCCTCAGCAGTGTGTTTCAGTCATTCTGCCTGTTCTGTTCCCCACTCTGTCTTTGGTGAATCCTTTCACCCCCACATCTCTGGCCTGTACCCCAGTTCTTTCATGCATAAATAAATAAATCTTGGGAAAAAAGGAAAAATTTCTGGGATGGTGGGAATGTTCTATAATTTAGTGGGAAAATGGGTTACAGAGAATTTGTATTTGTCAAAATCAATCACACCAAAACATGATACATGCATTTCACCATATGTAAATTGCTATTTCATTAAAAAAATTCTGTGCTCATGTTAAGTAGAATGAAAGTAGTTACAGAAAATACATTTAATTACATTCAACAGAAGAATTTTCTTTTCAGTTGCTTGTTTAGTTCTTTTGGAAACTGGTACAGCTTAAGTATTTCCTACATTTTTCAATATGCAATAATTCATAATAATGTCTAAATTATATTCATTTAAAAAATGAAAATTGAAAGCTTGTTAGACATTTTAGTGACCTTTTCAAAAAAGTACTTTTGAAGTAAAAATGAAATATTAATAAAGTGCATATATCACAGAATATACTGAAGTGTATAAATTATTCTACATAACTGCAGCCATTACTGAATTTTACTTCTCGTAACATGAGTAACATGAGTAACAATTTTACAGGGTAATATGAGTGTCTATATTTATGGGAAAAACTATACTAATTGTCAAATATTTTGAAACTAAAAATAGAACGGTTATAGATAATTTAATACCATTCCTCAAAAGCTCCTAATAATACTGGAAAATATATAATTCTGAGTATTGGGAAGTTTTACAGAGAAAAGTACCAAGAAAACCTACCTTTGCTAGTCTTTGTTAAGTCAGTAAATTAAAAAAATGATACAGAAAATCTGTATAAAGTTAACTTAATGTTTATTATGTTATCACCTGCAAAAAAGAATGTGATTTTTCTATCAAGTGTGAAATATTCAAAATAATCAACCATTTACCAGATCAACCCATCATCAAAAGGGAAAATGTTTATTTGGTAATACAAGTTTTCCCCTGCTATTGCAAAGTAAATTGCTCCTATTTGGTGTGATCTGATAGTTTATTTTAGGTGTACTGGAATGCTTAAAATTTTTCTACATCAATTAATAGTAACATTCCCAGAACCCCCAGAAAATCTATCAAATCATACCAATTAGGTAAGTTCTACTTTCTCACAGCAGGGAAAACCTGTAGTCTATAGGTACAACAGTATACTATACAGTATGAAAAAGAAAAAGTTACAACTACCCACATACAACACTGATAAACCAAAGATAATCAGTCAGAACCAAATGAACACAACCTGTATGTTTCTGCTGATAAGGAATTCAAAATAAGCAATATTAATCTGTAAGGTTAGATGTCAAGTTAGTACTAACACATTCGGAAAGAAGTGTGAGGAGTAATAAGGGAACAATAGGTGAGGGGATTTCGGGAATGCTGATAGGTTCTAACAATGTTGGATACCTGGATGTGTTCATTCTAAGGTAAGTCATTTGTATACTGTTCTATAAGCTATGATTCAATATTTAAAAACAAACTCTGGGTCAAGGATAAGAGAAAAGAGTTTACAATTTGTTGTAAAACATGTGAACAGCTTTAATTAATGCATAGGGAACAATAATAGAACCTCAGATTAAATTAGTACACAAGAACAAATGAATGATCCAAGCATGCAACTTCAAAAGTTAGAAAACAATTAAGACTAAGGAAAACAGAAGTTTGTAATACAAACAAAGTAGGATAAATCAGACAATAAAAAGAACTAAATGAATAAAATAGCTGATTCTATGAAAAATAAAATACACAACCCTATTGGCATGATAACCTTAGCAGGAAAAAAAAAATGTAATAATAAGGAATGCAAATGGGGGGAGGGGATTACAGATCTAAAAAAAAAGAGTAACTCTTTGCTAAAATAGTTTAAAGACATTTAGAAAATTTTGAGGCAAAACAAATTACCAAATTGACTTTAAAGGAAATAGAAGTGTACATTTAAAGTGCAAAAAAAGGTTGGGTCAATTTTATGGACAGATGTTATAAGGAACAGATAATGCCTGGGCCTCCTGGTGATGCAAGGGTTAAAGTCTTAGCACTGTCAAGCTATTGTCAGCCACTGAAGCATGAGTTCATGGCACAGCAGACCTCTCTTGTCTCACCAGCTGCTCTCCTAAGCAGTGTATTTCAGTGGATTCCTATTCTGCTCCCCACTCTGTCTCTGGCAAATCCTCTCATGCCCTGCACCTCTGGCCTACACCCCAGTTCTTGTTATGCATAAATGAAAATAAAACTTTAAAAAAAAAAAAAACCAGATGATTCCTATAGAAAAATTGAAAATAAAACAGCAATCTAGCAATTACTACTCGAAAAACCAAGTATGTTGCATTTATCAAGAGCTGGCATGACAGTCTCCAAGACACAAATATGGCCAAATAATACTGTCTTTTATAAGTAACTAATAGATTTTTCAAAAATAATTTTTAATTATATATATTTTTTGCTATAAGTTCTAATTTTAAAACTCTGCAATTATGATGGAGCTCTACACAGGGTAGCAAGTAAACCAGATTTTATCTGTAGCTACAGTTCTTTGTCCTCACTGCCTCTTCAGCTAATCCAGTCTATTCCCCTTGAATGTACTTTTCTCTACCCTTCATTCATAATGCATCACAGTCTCTAGAACGTACCAAATAAAAATTCTAAGTGCTGAGGATAATCTTTAGCATCTCCAGGTTCTCTTTTTCTTTAATATCAGTTATTGCCATTTTTCCAAAGACAACCAAGCCCACCCATATCATCTTTTTTTTAATTTTATATATTTTTTACATCATTTTTCATTTTTGCACATTGTATGCATTTTCATCTTGGTTATAGTCCCCATACAATTCCTACCTCCCTTGTTTTGCTCCTACTCCCTCCCCGCCCCCGCAGTGTGTCTCTGGTTTATAGCTGCTTGTGATTTTGATTTTTACTTTATTGTAATTAGTAATTTTCCTGGTCCCTTATTTAGGTTTTCTAAATTCCTGCTATGAGTGAGACCATCCGGTATTTTTCTTTTTCTTTCTGGCTTATTTCACTGAGCACGATCCCTTCCAGCTCCATCCATGTTGCTGCAAATAGCATGAGTTTATCTTTTTTGATTGCTGAGTAATATTTCATTGTGTATATATACCACATCTTCTTGATCTAGTCATCTATTTTTGGGCATTTGGGTTGTTTCCATAGCTTAGCTATTGTAAATAGTACTGCTATAAACAGGGGTGCAAGTGTCCTTTTGAATTAATGATTCTGTGTCCTTTGGGTAAATACCTAGAAGTGGAATTGCTGCCACCCATGTCATCTTGTATTATGTTAGTAAGTATAAGGGTTTCCACCCTCTTGTGAAAATTTAATAGAAGTAATTTCATTTCAACAAAACAGAATGAACATGTTGAAATCTCCCCAGCTTAAACAAAACTTAGAGAAAAATAAAAAAAAAGGCTACCCTTAAATTAGAGACTTATGCCAGATGAAAAAAAAGTAAAGTCCTGAAAGTAAGGCAGGTCTGTATCAATTAACCACACTCTAAAAGAAGTTCTCTCATATCTTTACCAATTAATCACACTCCAAAATAAGAAGCTCTCTCATAAGCTTCTCATTCAGATCATTTGCAATCAGGACAAAAGAGAATATAGCTTTACACATGGTTAAATAAAATGCATATATAATCTTCCAACTGAGGGCAGCTCAAACCCATTCAAAGACACCAGAGTTAAAGGACCAGTGGGGAGGTGAGGGAGGACCTTTAAATAAGAACATTTCAGAGCCTCAGAGAAATAGAAGCAGGAATCATAGCAGAAATTAAAAACTGAAGATTATTTTAAAAAAGAACAGAATGTCATGATAAATAAGGAGTTGTAAAACAAAGCTAGCGTATATATCAGTGAAATATAAGACAGAACTGCAGCATTCTCCCAGAACATGCAAATAGAAAGTACAGAAGAAAAAAAGAGACATGAGAAATAGATTCAGAAATTCTACGTATGTAATAGGAATATGAAAGGAAGTAGAGAAAAGAAAGAATAACTGAAGAAGTAATGGCCAAGAATATCCTAGAGTTTAGGATAAAGTCCTCAGACTGAGAGCATCCTCTGAGCATTAAAGAAAACAAAAAGTCACACTTACAATGGAAAATACTGAAAAATAAAAATATAGCAAAAACTCAAAAAGTATTAAAACAAATGAGAATCGAGACTGATATTAGACCTCTCATCAATAGCCATGAGTACACTAAAATAGTAGAGAAATAACTATAAGCCTTTAAGAAAAAGTAACTTTAAAACTTCCCATCAAAGCAGTTTTACAACAATACCAGTTTACTTGACAGCCTCTCTCAATTAGATTTTAAGTGCCTTCAAGAGAAGTACATGTCTGGCTCACTGATAACACATCAGCCTCAATTTAGGCTACTTCATATAAATATTTGACAAATATTTACTACAGAGAAATGCAGAAATACTTCAGCTACTCACACATTTTTGCATAGTATTTCTCTCTCTTCTCTACTGCTCAGTTCTAACAAAGCATTTTACAAGTCACTAAAGGGAGGGGGAGGACAGCAGAATGATAAAGCTATCTATATACAAATTGTAGTTTAGAATTCTATCATATATTAACAACTGGCAATGTCTGCATCAAGACATTTGCAAATGAACCATTATTTATAGACTATTTCACAAGTTCTCAAATTATGGGTAATAGTTAACTCCTTTTTCCTTTTTTTATAGTGGTGTAAAAACAAGATTTTTCTAATACCGGATGGTCTACTCATAGCAGGAATCTAGAAAACCTAAATAAGGGACCAGGAAAATGAGTATCTATAAGAAAGAAAAAAATCAAAATCAACAAACAACTATGAACCAGAGACACACTTTGGGGGAGAGGGGCAGGGAAAGGAGGGATTTGCGGTCAAAATAAGGGGGTTGCAATTGTATGGGGAATATAAAAATAAAATTTAAAAAAAAAAACAAGATTTTTCTTTTTAATAAAAGGCTTAAGGACAGGCATACAAATAAATGCATTTTGTTCTAGACTAGAATTGAGAGTCCAGAATAAATCTTATTTATCACATAGGTTATGGTCAACTGATTATTTTTTTTTAAAGATTTATTTATTTATGCATATAAGAGCTGGGTTACAGACCAGAGGTGCCGGTGGTGAGAGGATTCACCAGGGACAGAGTGGGGAACAGAACAGGCGAGTTAACTGAAATACACTGCTGAGGGGAGCAGCGGGCAGACAGGAGAGGTCTGCTGCTCCATGTGTGTCCCCTCCCTGGCCAGGGATTGAACTTGTGCTGCTGCTGCAGTAGTTGCGGATAGCTTCCTAGTACTGATGCATAACCCCTTGGGCCCCCAGGGAGGCCCTCAACTGATTTTTTGGAAAAAGTGCTAAAGCAATTCAAAGTGGAAAGATTAGTCTTTATAACAAATGGTACTATAAGAATTGGTCTGCATGCAAAAGAATGGGACTGGATAACTATCTCCCATTATATACATAATATTAATTAAAAATGGATCATAGCCCTAAATATAAGAGCTAAAACTAAATAGTTCTTAAAAAAGACAACATAGCAGAAAATCCTTGTAATATAGGAGTAGTCAATGGTTTCTTACATATGACACCAAAAATGTACAAGAAAGGAAAATGTGAAATGTATCAAAATTTTAAATGCTTGCACTACACATAGTACTATCAAAAACGTAAAGAAAATTCACAAAATGGAAGAAAATATTTGCAAAGTACCCTCTGAAAAGGGACTTGTATCCAAAATATATAAAATTTACAACTAAATAATAAAAGGACAAACCATTTAAAACATAGGCAAAGGATCGAAAGAGACATTTCTCCAAAGACATATAAATGGCCAATTGCCCAACTGGATACTCAACATTAGGTAAACCCAAAAGAGAATCACATTACCATACCACTTTACACTCTTAGGATGACTACTGAATACAATAAAACATACAATAACAAGATTGACAGAAGGGTAGAAAAACTGGAACACTGTTACATTGCTGGTGAGAATGTAAAATAGTGCAGCCATTTTATTTTTTTAAAAGATTTAGTTAGTTAGTTAGTTAGTTAGTTAGTTAGTTAGTTAGTTAGTTAGTTAGTTAGTTATACAAGCACTGGGTACAGTCAGAAGCGCGGGAGGGTGAGCGAATTCACCAGAGACAGAGCAGGGAGCAGAACAGACAGACTGACGAAATACACTGCTGAGGGGAGCAGCGGGCGGCAGGAGAGGTCTGCCCGCCAAGTGGGTCCCTCACCCGATGGCCGGAGATCAAACCGGCGCTGCAGAGGCTGCGGGCAGCTTCACAACCCAGCCCTCAACAGCTGTGCCAGCCCTCAACAGCTGTGCCAGCGGGGAGGCCCTGTGTAGCCATTTTAGAAACTAATTTGGCAGTTGCTCAAAATGTTGCTGAACAGTTACCCCATATGAGCAAATAATCTACTCATAAGCAAGAGAAATAAATGAAAACAATACATCTGCACAAATATTTGTACTTAAATGTTTATAGCAGCATTATTCACAACAGTTAAAATGTAGAAATGATCCAAATGCCCATCAAATGATAATGATTAAAACACACCAGGAATAACCACAGAATGAAATACAAAAACTAATGAAATACTGATACATGCGACAATGTGAATGAAACTAAGTAAAAGCAGTCACAAAATCATCATATGTGTGGTTCTATTTATATGAAATTTCAAAATAGGCAAATCTATAAGACAGAAAGTAGATTAACAGTTGCCTAGAGCTGTAGGTGGTAAGGGTATAAGGAATGACTGCTAATGAGTATAAGTTTTTCGGGGGGAAGAAATTAATCTAAAATTAGACTGTGGTGATGACTGCACAACCTTGAAAATATAATATAGAACATCTAATTGAACATGTTAGAAGGGTGAATTATATCATAAAAGATAGTTCCAAACTTAGGATGTTTTGACTTACAATTTTTCACCTTAAAATGGTATAAAATAATACACATTCAGTAGAAACCACATTTTGAATTTTTAATTAGGGTTCATTTTCATTCCAGCATTCAATGAATTACATGAGATAGTCAACAGTATACTGTAAAACTGGCTTCGTGTTACATGATTTTGTCCAACTGTAAGCTAATGATGTAAGTATTCTGAGCACTTTTAAGGTAAGATAGAATAAAATAGGAGGTCTGTAAAATTAGGTATATTAAATGTATTTGCTTTGCTTTTTTTTTTTTTTTAATAGTCTTACTTCTTATTCTTTTTAAAAGCCTTTTCATCGCATATATAAGCAAGAGAATTACCACACAGGGATATCGTGAATCCTATTTCAGAGCTAGGTAAAATGCATCAATTTTATGTATTTTCCCTACCCTTTACCTTTAAACCCTCCCCATTAGGGTTATCAATTTAAAAGTAAAGAATTAAGGATAGTGTACTGGAATCAAGTTCATTTCTCTCTGCAAGCAAGCATTCAAAATAAAAACTACAAATATACTACGGGGGAACATGCAAGAAGAGACTAAGCAGTTCTTAAATATCACAATACTAAAAAGATATAGAATTCCTTAATAAAGACTAGACAAGGATGTCTGACTTTCTTCCCTAAACAATGCTGCATTATAATTTTTGAAGAATTATATGGGGTGAGTGCAGTCTCTCCACAGGCTCCGGGCAGCACTCCCTCTACCCAACTGTGACTATGCAGGTGTTTCTTTTCACCCACTCTCTCCCTCAGCAGGGCAGTACTTGCTGCCTGCCTGTGAACTGTACCTTGTAGGGACTTCTCTTCACTGACCTCCCTCAGCAGAGGCAGCTCTCCTCAAGGACACCTGCCTGCAACCATGCAGGGCTCTCTTCGCAAACCTGTCCCTTTTGGGACAGCTCTTTCTGCCCACTTGTGTCTATGCAAGTGTCTTACTCTTCTGTCCCTTTCCCTAATAAACCTGCTCTTTTAATTAAAAAAAAAAGAATTATACAGGCAAGTCACTACAAAGTCTCCAATTTTCATGAACAGTATCATGTTCTAGGTCTTCATTTACCCCTGCTTGTTTTTTAAAAAAGTGTTTGTTTCCACTTGACACAGTGAAGAAAAAATATATATAAATCTGCACTCTAGGAGGCTTTCAAAAGCTCCCATCCAGTGTGGCTATCTTTTTCTTGTCACAGCTCCCAAAACAGCCTAGCTGGAAGGTACTTTTAATATAAATGGCTCAACTCCCAATGCCAATAGTTCAATGTAACAGACATGTGCTGAGGCCCAAGAATCTGAGTCAGAGCCCAGATATATAAAACCACACCAAGACAGGACCTGATTTTAGCATTCCTTCCCAAACAGGACTGCACAGGACAGTGCATGCCCATGGTTTAAGTGAACGTATTTTGACTTACAGTAAATATTCACCTTATAATGGGTTTATCATGATGTAACCTCATCATAAATTAAAAATCTGTGCTTCTCAATAAAGCAACTAAAAATATATACACAAAACAACACTACTCACCCAAATATGGAATTCCTTTACCCAAAAAAGACTTAAAGCTATTTCTCTTCAGTCTTACCTTTTAAGGGCATCTTTGAGTTCAGGCACAGAACGAATACACTGAACCGTAGCATTCATGTAACAAGTGTTACCAAGGTTTGTCAATCCACATGGTAATTCCATCTGATAAGGAAAAGGATTAAATCATTTTTATAAAATGAGGCAGAGATCTATGAATAACATTTTATCATGTGTTAATGAGGAAAAAAAATCAATTCCCAGTCAGGACCACTGTCTGTGTGGAGTCTGTATATTTTCCCTTGTCTACATGGATTTTCTCTAGGTACTCCATTTTCTTCCCATATCCCAGGGATATGCATGTGAGATTCATTAGTGTTTCTAAACTGTCTCAGTAGGAGTGAGAGTGGGTGTGTGTATGAGAGCATCCTGTCCAGGTTTGGGTCTCACATTGTACCCTGAGCTGCCAGAACAGGCTCCAGGTACCTGAAACCTTGAACTGGAATAAGTGATTTAGAAAGTGAATGGATGAATACAAATTATTTTTAATATAAGTGTTTTTGACCTTCATTTACAAGTTTGCTGATGTTTTTGTGACTAGAAATATGCCATAGGAATTTAAGTCTTATTAAGATCAATTAGGCTACAGTAAAATTGATTTCATTACACATTTTTTAGTTTTAGTCAGTTTCCAAGAACCTATCGAAGACAAGGGCATTAAGTGAGGACTTATTGAATGAATCACCAGAGTTCACATATACTTTGATGCAAGAACAATTTACCACTCATACCAATTTGTATTTACTCTAAAGTAACAATGCTTTATTTCTCCAACAAAAAATTTCATTTGCATCACACTGACAATCATTCTCTATTTTAATTCCCTTCTTAAAAATACTAAAAGAACAATCATATCCATTAGTCCTGCCTCCTTTGTAGACTTACTTAAACAGAGTAGCAACATATACATAGAAATACTTCACACCAAAAAAAAAAATGGCAGTATATAAAACCTGGATGATTTAAATAAATATTCAAAACATGTGATGATCAGTTTCTAAACCAAGTTTGCATTTAAATTAAAGATAAACTAATGTATTTCCAGCATGGAACATTTTAAGCACTTAAATGCCCCAGTATTTAAGCTATTTGAGCTTAAATATTAAGCTATTTAAGCTATTTATTAAGCTTAAATATTAAGCTATTTAATATTAGCTATTTTAGCTATTTGAGCTATTTGAGTATTTCACTTATTTGAGCCCATTTTTCCAAAAAAGTAAACACTCAAAATAAACACTATTTACCAGACACAATTATTACAGATGTTGACTTTATAATATCTGTGTGTGTATCTTATAACAACCCTTATCTGTATAATAAAGTTAATTATAGTAATTACATCAGTTCTGAGACTTAAAAGCCCAAACTCTGGATTACAAACTTTGTTTAATGTTAAGTATAAATTAAGCCTAAGTAAATTCATTTGAAAGTCAGAAAAGCAATAATCAAAGCGTACAATCAAAACAGCAAGTAATTTTATTAACTATTCCATTATAGGATTTCTTAAGTCAATTTCAAAACTAAAAACATACATCTTAGTGTTTGTGACTAAGTCTTCAAAACATACAGATGCTGGGCCTCCCCGGTGGCGCAGCGGTTGAGCGCTGGGTTGCGAAGCTGCCCGCGGCCTCTGCGGCGCCGGTTCAATCCCCGGCTGCTCCCCGGCCACCGGAGGAGGATCCCACATGGTGCGCAGACCTCTCCTGCCACCCGCTGCTCCCCTCAGCAGTGTACTTCAGCCCTTCTGCCTGCTCTGCTCCCCGCTCTGGCTCTGGTGAATTCTCTCACCCTCCCGCGCTTCTGACTGTACCCAGTGCATGTATAAACAAAACAAACAAATATAATAAATAAATAAATAAAAACATGCCTCTATTAAAAAAAAAAAACATACAGATGCTACTCCTTGAAAAGCATCTTATAAAATATACTTCTGAAAAGCAGTGATCAAATATATAAAATGTAGTATGTCTTACAGCAGATGCTAACTGTTCTTCCGTCATGTCTTCTACAAATACGGTTTTAGCTGAGGGCTCCTCAGGAAGAGCATCTGCTGACCCCATCATTAGTAGAGTCATTCCCTGTTAAAAAAAAAAAAGTTAATTTCACAAAAGTGCTCAAAAGCTGATCACTTTATGTCCAATGACAAAAGCGAGACATGGAAAACACATTCTGCATCTTTCTAGTCAACAAGAAAGGAAGTACTAGGGCAGCTACTTTAGGTCAGAAATTACCTTCTTAACTGCAAAAAGGTTAAGAGGAAACTTTAAAGAGTTGTGAAACATCTACATCTTGATCACAGTAGTAGTAAGATGACTGCATAAAATTACCAAATTCATCAAGCTACACACTGGAAATAGGTCAATTTTGTACACTGTAAATTATACCTCAATATAGATGAGTAAAAAATATTGTCATAAAAAAGCTGAGAATACAGTTTATAATTTTGAAAAGGAAAGAATTATTCAAATAATCATTAACATGAAGTGGCTTAATTTTGCTCCATAGCAAATAAACTAGCACTAGTAAGATTACATTTGAATACAAATATTTTATATAATTATTGGTAAGAAAAATAAGACCAAACATAAAATTAGTTTAAAATATCAAATTTCCTAACTCTATTAAACTAAGAGAATACTTTCTTTTTTTTTAAGATTTATTTTATTTATTTATGCACTGCTGAGAGGAGCAGCAAGTGAGATAGGAGAGGTCTGCTGTGCCATGTGGGTTAGTGTGCAATAGCTTGATATTGCTGAGACTTTAACCCCTGCACTATCAGGGAGGACCCAGAGAATATTTATTTTCAATACAAATATAACTTTTCATAATAGAAACACAATGAAGACACTGTCATCCTAAAGCTCACAATCCTGAAAGGTGAACATCTTGCTCAATATCTTAAATGGAAGACATAGCACATGAAAGAAAGAATAAGGAAGTTTAAATTAAAAAAAAAAAAAGAAAAAAAGAACCATAAGTGGAGGTTTAAAAAAAAGGCCAGAGAAGAATATCTGACTGAATGACATCCCTTTGGATACTATCAGTTCACCATCTCATCACATGCCATATACAAATAAAAATACAAATTTAAATTTTTTTTAACGATTTATTTATTTTTATACAAGAGCTGGGGTACAGGCGAGAGGCACGGGAGGGTGAGAGGATTCACCAGAGACAGAGCAGTGAGCAGAACAGGCGAGGCAGGAGAGGTCTGCCACACTATGTGGGAATCTCCCTGGCCGACCAGGACTTGAACCTAAGCCACAGAGGCTGCGGACAATCACAGGGATGCCCTCAACCCGCTGCGCCACCAGGGAGGCCCCTACAAATTTAAATTTTAATAAGAAAATGAAACAAATAATTGTAAAATCATGTAAGCAGGATCAAAAGATTGCCATGTTAAAAAAGATTTCATAAAATTGACATAAAAGATTAAAGGACTTACGTTACCAACTACATAAACCTTGAACCATTAACACAATCAAAATTTTCGTTTTGATTAAATTTTAATTTTGAGTCTAGTTTGATAAACTAGAAAAAAAATTACGCTGTATACAGTGAGCACCTAAAAAAGAATCAGTTAACACACATAATAGAACAAATGGATGAGATAAACAGAAAACAAAAATGATTTATAAATTAAGTAAGCTGCTACCTTAAGAAGCTAGAAAAGCATAAATGAAAACCAAAGTAAAAAGAAGGGCATTAAAAAAAGAGGGACAAAAGCTAATTTGGGGGGTAAATTCAAAACCATTGTAGATGAAGAAACAGATAAATCACAAATTGCCAATACCCAGTGCAAAAAACCAAAAACAGCACTATAAACTTCAGAATTAAAGAATATTTGCTCAGATGATATATCTAAATATAAAAGGTTAACATTGACAAAAGTTTCAACATGCTTAAAATTGTACCATTTTAAAGACTAAAAAAGCAACAGATTGGTAGAAAATATTGGGCCTCCTAGGTGGCGCAAGGGGTTTAGCACTGCACTATGAAGAAATCCACAGCTTCTGCAGCATGAGTTCGATCCCCAGCCGGCCAGGAAGCAACCCACATGGCGCAGCAGACCTCTCCTGATTCGCCTGCTGCTCCCCTCAGCCGGTCAATCTGCCTGTTCTGTTCCCCTCTCTGTCTCTGGTGAATCCTCTCACCCCCCGCATCTCTGGCCTGTACCCTAGCTCTTGTATGTATAAATAAATAAATCTTTAAAAAAAAAATCCACAGCACATATACATCACAAAACACATCTAGTAGATATAAAAAATATTTAACACTAAGTTAAAACTACCCAATTAAAAATATTCAAAGATTTGATTAGGCATTTCACAAGATGAAAACAAGCCTGATAAGCTCATGAATTGATATTCAACATCATTAGCCATAAATGAAATAAACACAAATTCAAATCACAAAAAATGTGACTAGACATCCACCAGAATGGGAAATTTAAAAAGACTGAAAACATCAAATGCTGATGGTAATACAGAGCAATTGGATCTCTCATACACTGTATAAAGTATGTAAAATGGGGGCCTCCCCGTTGGGTTAAGTCTCAGCACTATGAAAGCTATCCCCAGCTACTGCATCAAGAGTTTGATCCCCAGCCAGGGAGCTAACCCAGCAGACCTCTCCTGTCTCGCCAGCTTCTTGCCTCAGCAATGTATTTCAGTAGATCTGCCTGTTCTGATCCCCACTATCTCTGGTAAATCCTCTCACACCCCACACCTCTGGCCTGCACCCCAGCTCTGGTATGCATAAATAAATAAATCTTTAAAAAAGAATAAATAAAAGAATGTAAAATGGTAGAACTTTGGAAAGTGACAAAGTTAAACATACACTTAATCAAATAACCCAGCAATTTCACTCCTAGCTATTTACTGAAGAAAAATGAAAAGCACACCGTCTAGGAAGATGAAGGTTCCCAAGTTTTATACAATCTAAAATTAAAAACACAAATACCTGGGCCTCCCTGGTGGCACAAGGGGTTAAGCACAGCACTATGAAGCAATCTGCAGCCTCTGTAGCACAAGTTCGATCCCCTGCAGCCAAAGGAGCAACCCACATGGCTCAGCAGACCTCTCTTGTCTAGCCCACTGCTCCCCTCAGCAGAGTATTTCAGTCAGTCTGCCTGTTCTGTTCCCGGCTCTGTTTCTGGTGAATCCTCTCACACACACCCCACACACCTCTGGCCTGAAACCAAGTTCTTGTATGCATAAATAAATAAATAAATCTTAAAAAACAAAAACAAAAACAAATATCCATCAACAGATGAACAGACACACACACACACACACACACACACAGAGCATGAATCAAAAAATACGAGACCAGGGAAAACTACAATAGCAATAAACGTATAAATTAGTCTTAAAAAGAGAAGCACAGAAGGGCCTCCCTCGTGGCACAGCGGTTGAGCGCTGGGTTGCGAAGCTGCCCGCAGCCTCTGCAGCACTGGTTCGATCCCCAGCTGCTCCCGGGCCCCTGGAGGAGGGTCCCACATGGCGCGCAGACCTGTCCTGTCGCCCACTGCTCCCCTCAGCAGTGTACTTTGGTCCTTCTGCCTGCTCTGCTCCCCGCTCTGGCTCTGGTGAATTCTCTCACCCTCCAGCGCTTCTGACTGTACCCAGTGCTTGTATAAATAAATAAACAAATAAATCTTTAAAAAAAAAAAAAAAAGAGAAGCACAGGGACCTCCCTGGTGGATGAGTAAGTCTCAGCCCTATTACTGCTAAGACCTCAGTTTGATCCCTGGCCAGGGAGCTAACCCACATAGGGTGCAGCAGACACTCCTGTCTTACCTGCTGCTCCCCTTAGCTGTGTATTTCAGTAAATCTGCCTGTTCTGCTCCCTACTCTGTCTCTGGTGAAGCCTCTCGACCCCTACACTTCTGGCCTATACGCCATTTCTTTTACACAAAAATAAAATTAAATTTAAAAAAAAAAAAGAGGGTTTCCCCTTGTGGCACAGGCGGTTGAGTGCCGCGCTGTGAAGCTGTCTGCAGCCTCTGCAGCACCGGTTCAATCCCGGCCGGCCAGCAAGGGTCCCACATGGCGCGGCAGACCTCTCCAGTCTCACCCGCTGCTCCCCTCAGCAGTGTATTTCATCAGTCTGCCTGTTCTTTTCCCCGCTCTGTCTCTGGTGAATCCTCTCACCCTCCCACGTATCTGGCCTGTACCCCGGTTCTTGTATAAATAAATAAATCTTTAAAAAATAAAATAAGGCCTCCCCTGGTGGCCAGCGGTTGAGCGCTAGGCTGTGAGGCAGCCTGCAGTCTCTGCAGCACCTGTTCGTTCCCCAGCTGCCAGAGAGGGTCCCACAAAAATTAATTAATTAATTAATTAATTAAAAAATAAAAAAAGAGAAGCACAGACAGAAAAAAAAGTTTGAATAGCTAAAGATTTTCAAAATTTAATAAAAACTATAAACTCAAATTCAAAATGCTCAAACAAAACAACCCTCAAGCATATATATGTGTGTGTGTGTGGACACACATACACACACACACACATACACACACACACAGAGCTGAAAACCTTAGGCAAAGAAACAAGAATGACAATTAACTATGTCAATCAAGATATCTTCAAGTATTCAAAGAAAAGGTGTTAATTTAGAATGCTATACCTTTCAAAGATGAAGGTAAACAGCTTTATAGAAAAATGAAAGCAGATAAAATTCACAGATCGGCTATCCAAGAAATGTAAGATTGTTCCTTAGGTAAAAAAAAAAAATTGTAACAGACAGAAATATGGATTTGGGTCCAAAAGAAGAGTGCCAAAAATAACAAATAAGGGTTGTCTCCATTTTTAAATCTTTTTGAAAGATAGCTAAAGGAAAAACAATAGCGAAATAATACAGAGCACCTAACATATATATCAATACAAGCAAATTGCATGACAACAATAATACAAAGGGCACAAGTGTTGAAATGGAGTTTACTATAAGAATCTTAAACTATACGGAATAAATACTGATGAAGTTCATATGGAACCACAAAAAAACCGCAAATAGTCAAAGCCCTACTGACGAAAACAAAGGCGAATGGAGGTATCACACTTTCAAACTTCAAATTATA